ACCCACAGTGGGTGGTGGTTGTCATCTGCTCACCAACATGCAACCGCTACTCCGCCTGGTCTAATGCATCGTGCTGAGTTATTGGGCACTATTCATTCTCCCCACTTGGGACCAGTAACAGAGCTCAATGAACGATGGCAATTCACAGCTTTCCTTGGCATTGTGGTCACGTGACTAAGTTCTAGCTGGCAGGAGGTGAGGAGAAGTGGCGATGTGCATCCTCTCCTCTCCCCCTGCCCCTTCCTTTTTGGCCTGAATCTGATGAAGCCAACATCAAGCTGGCAGAACACTTCTGAGTTTCACTATGAAGTTAGAATCCAGATAATGAAGGTTTATACTTTGGCAAAGATGATTTTGTGACCAGCCAACCTAGTTCTTTCTAGTTGATCTTTGAAAAGTAAATATATCTTCTTTTCATCCCCCTTTGCAGGCTCCACTGAAAGTTCTGTGGGAAAGAGTAATCACATAAGACATTTATTAAAAACCTCAACTGAGATTTTAGCGTTGACAGCTATCAAAAATGAGAAAGTATATGGGTACATGCCATTTGGAAAAGGTATTTTTGTGTGTGTATGTGTGAACCTTTAAAAATATTTATTTTAATTTATTATTAATTGGGAGGTAATATATATATCATATTCCATAGCTCAATCACACCAAACAGAATTGTACAATTGCTACCACAGTTAGTTTCCAAACATTCTTTTCCTCCTGGACTTCTTGATATTGTCTCTGCTTTTCCTGTCCCCCACCCCCACCCCAGGTTTCATACACCAAAAGGCAGAGAGACATATAACACAACTTCAAGAGGATGACCTCTAATGACAACACTTCTGAGATATACCCTAATGTGAACAAACAAAAACAAAACAAAATACAGAAACTGTTGGATAACAGATCAGGTCGAGCATGCATCAGAGGGGATCCACTGACAAAGTTCAACTGTTTAAGTTGGTTGATCCCTTGGATCTTCTATAGGCATCTCTGATGCACTCTGTTTAGTAACCACTTTCCTCCCACCCCTCAATTATGGATAGTGGGAGATCACCGGAGGCTTATTTCCTATGTGGTTCTCACAAGTCTATCTTGAGCTCCCACTGTCATCACAGCCTTCTTTCTGCAAACCAGATTGCCGAGCAGGTCATCTACCTCAAATCTCCAATATCTTGGTAAGCAGTCAAGTGCATTAACCATTTGCATCAACCGGGAACTTTAACAGAACTTTAGTTAACTCTAAATAAATAATTTTAAAAGGTGA